TGAAACATCGGCCGGTTGTATGAGTCGTGGACTTGTGCGCAGCTCAAATCTCCTGCAAAAGAAGCCCCCTCAATCGTTGCAACAATGATATTCAAGCACATTTGCGCTCGAAGTACTATTTGCTAGAGAACTGAACCAGATTAAAAAAAAGTTTTCACAGAATGCCAACACAGCTAATGTTTCAGGGTGCTGCACCTGACAATGAAGAGGATTACAGAGGAAAGAGAGAGAGAGGAGGAAGGCGATTTGTGTGGAACCAGGTGCAAGGTGGAGGGGGGGGGGGCAAAAATCAACAGAAGGGAAGAACAAAACTAGTTTCAATATCTTTCAAGATTACACCAGTATCCTTCGTTTGAAGCAAAATATACGTTAAAAAGTTATCAAATTAAGGTATCCACTCCGTGTAGCTATAATACTCCTTCTTCCTGACCCGTCAGAGTGTATTTTTTTGACGTTAACTAACGATAACGGCCACACAGTCTCTGACAACAATAAACGAAGAAGTGTTACCGGAAAGCAACCAAAATAGGCGATCACCAAGTACCACTTGACCGCAAATGTTCAAATCTTTACAATCCCAGCAAGCCAGGGCCAAGAAGCCACAGGAAAAGATTTACCCAACATAAGAAATCAAATCCGTGCGCGAAAATGAAGAGCAAGTACAAAGTTTGAAAGGTACAAGCAAACCTTGAAGCATTCGAAATGCAATCGGTGCACGGTACATTCTCCAGAACCATTGGATTTTGTGATTTCTCTCGGACAAGTGCTATCAAATCTGGGTATCCATCCAGGGAAAAATCACCAACACGAAAAACAACATTCCCTTCATCTTTTTTCGATACCAAATCAGATCCCTAAAAATAATCACATTACTGAATTGAGCTGTTTTCAGTATAAAATAAAGTTTTCGATTGTGGCGCAGATAATTTTGGTGCTTCTAAAGTGGAAGAGAGACAAAGAGAGGGTTTTTATACGAACCAAAAATTTCCTTGACTTCCTCCAAAAAACTTAACACACAGAAGATTCCAGGCCCCCATTCTCTTCCAGTCTCCTTGCCAGGAATATTCACGGTTGCATCTTTAAAATTTCTACAACACTTATTTCCACTCTTCTCAAAAAAAAAATCAAAATTTCCTCCAAATTCACTTTGTATGAAAGGCGAAAGCACTCGAAAACAGCCACAGTGACAGCATATTTACTAAAAGCAATAATCCACTAAGAAAACATCCGATGTGAGAGAAATGAAGCCGAAAAAAATCTTCTAAGATGAAAAACGCTATGTTTTTGTCTCTTTCAGTTTGATATTTCTCATTTTTTGACAATACTCCAATAATCATAACAAATGTTTCCTACCTCGAGCCCAGTAATATGGAAATCCTGCCATGCGCCAATATGATAATTCTACATATTGATAACGAGGACTTTTCGGCATGCCGCATCCGCACAACATGGCAGGCCAATATCCATAGTACCATCGGCATCAAAATCGGCGAAAAGTACAGCACCGAAGTAATTTGTGCTACACGATTCGGCTGGTAGGTCAGCAATCAGTGTATTATCCAGTTCCCATAGTTCACTGCAAAAAAAAAAAAAAAAAA